GGTTGGAACTAGATGATCTTTAAGGTCCCTTCCAACCCTAAGCATTCCATGATGATTCTATGATCAGCTAGGCAAAACCAGTAAAGTAATGGCAGTCCTTGGGAGGAGATCATGAGATGCTGTGTTCCTGAGTTTGTCATTTCCAGTGGTTATATACCTGTTGCATGAGGATTACAGCTGTCAATTTAGATCCCAAGAACAAGATTTAAGCAAACTTTGTGCTCAGATGCTATTTGAATTTGGCTTTGCAAAAGTCCTTTCTTCCCATACCTAAAGTGTATCTTATTATGTCCACCCAGCTCTACCTGTGGGAAGAGAAATATGAAGGTTTGATCTGAAGAAAGTAGTGGACATTTTAGGTGACATTTTAGGGTTTTTTGCCAGGTTCATTGCTCTAGAAGTAAATATAAAAATACCAGCAGCACTCTCAAAACATGTCTTTAGGAAACTATTCCTGTGCATAATACTGAAAATCAGAAAATATTTTAAAGGGGTTTTAAACCCAGACTTTTCAGAAGATATTACATGCAGTAATTTTTTTCTTTATTACAGATTCTTAATAGGATATATTGGATTGCAGTTGAGATATTTTCCGTGTTCTTCTGTCTACAGCTCTTTCCAGTAATACTTGCCCTATTCAATCAATATGGTTCATTATTCTCCAATCAAAGAAACATAACCTATTTCACCTCGATTTATAGTCCATGTAAACTAATTACATTCTCTTAATCTTTTGTGACTAGCAACTAGTAGGCGGCATTTCTTCACCAGGACACTCATGAAGATCCTAGGGGCCACTTTGCTTCTCTGCAATATTTGCATTTCTGAGCTCAGCAAATATGCCTGTATTGAAATTAAAAGCAAGCTAACATGAGACAAGTCAGAAGGAAATAAAAAAAGCAGGTGGTTTTTCATGCTCATATTTCTTTTTTTTTTTTTTTTTAACCATTTTTGCACTCCTCCACCACGTGGTTGTGAAGCAGAAATTAATGCCTTATTGTTCTTCACTGTAATGCAGAAGCACGGAGCTGTGGTCAGCTATACCAGGGAAACTTCTGCCATAAGAGTTATGCCACAGATTAAAATTTGCACTACATCATTAAGCATCACTTCACAGGGACAGATAGTGCCCCCGTTTTCTAGCAGCTACGAGACATACGAAGGGCAAGCTATGAACCTTTGTAACAGCCTTAAGATGGAATTGCTACAGGGAGCTCATCTGGCTGTGATGAACAGCAGGAAACTCCCTTAAAAGGACTGGAAGCAAGACAGCTTCAGAATATCAGAGAAACTCCTACAAATTCCTGGGGTTACGGCTGAAGAAGGGTTTGCCTTTGTAGAGGGCAATGCTATGTAATACTATGACATCAGAGTCTTAGCATGGCATTTAACAGCTGGAATAGTAGAGATCTTCACAAGCTGTCTCAGAGGCTTTTTTCAACATAAAACACAGCTATGAGAAAACCTACAGCAAATCCATTAAAAAAAAAAAAAAAAAAAACCCCAAAAGAATTACTTTTAGAATTTAAACTTTTAGAATTTAAACAAAAAAACAACAAAACAAAACAAGAAGTTGAGAAACTTGAGACATGTACCTTGACTTCCAGATGAAGTTTCTTCTATTCCAGTGCATGGGGTCTGTAGTTTGGTCAACACGGCTGTTGTCAGGTTCCAACAGTTACATGCAGCGCTGATTAACGCAGCCCCGTTTCTTCAAATGCCCATTTGGCCTGACATTTCAGTGAGTTATAACTTTCTGTGAGTCATCATTCAGAAATAATGCATGACAAATGCTGAACTTCTACTAAGGGTGCACACGCTACATTCACAAGTTGTGGTAAGTACTTAGACTGCGAAAAATTTTTGGGAGGACGCGCTGTATTGTGTTAGAGCAGGCGTGCAACCTCTTTGGAAGGCAGTGTTATAACCTGCACTGGTTTAACTGCATAAGCAGGTCGACCTGTACTACATAGTCCTGGCCCTTTACATTTGAAATCAGCAGAGAGTTCATGTAGATTTTGACACTTTCTCTGTAGTACAGACATCTGCATCTAAATGTTTTATGTGCTCAACAAGTAGCCTTGGTTTCTCTGACTTAACCCTCCAAAATTATGCTCAACTGCCCCTTGGTGGAATGTATGTTTCTTAGTAGATGCTTTTGCACAGAGCTTCAAACCAACCTAATGTCAGCAAGCCCCACCCAAAAGCTGCGCAGTTTTGTCCGCGCAACGCTCTAGCTAGCTCTGCCTACCAAAAGATCACAGCCATATGTCTACAGCCAGGGTCTGACTTTAAAACCAGTCTTCTCTATTTGTATCCTGTGTGCAGTAATTTTATTTTGGGGCAAATTCAAGACTCTGACTAAATCCTACACGGTTACTGGGCAAAACATTAGGCACAAACCTTTGGTTAAGTACATCTGAGGCCATGTTAATAACATCTTATTCTAAAGGACTTCCTTAGAACCTCTCCAGCTGATGAATTAAAAAAATATGTAAAAAAAATTGTAAGAGTACTAAGAAATCTGTACTCTTATCATGTACCAACCAATTCTCAACTACTATTTACGAAACATCTTACACCATAAGAACTGTCATAACTGCATAAAGCTTTTCTCCAGTGTATTTTTATTAGGGATTCCTGCCATCATATCAACATACAAAACAATCAGGATGTTGACATATAGAAATGTGAAATTCACTGTACAAAGATAAGGCTCAAGTTACAGGTATATTTTCCCCTTAGTCTCCATGAAATAAAACCATTTTTAATTCTTCCCAGAGTTGTGTTTATAAATGTTAGACAAACCATAAAATAGATTTCAAGTACATAACATTTTACAATATAATCCAAGCACAGACAGAAATACACAATACTGTACCTATAGATGCTCCATTATCCAAGTCTGTCATCCTCACCAACAAAATACTAGACTGCTACTCTCTCTGAATATGCCCAACCATATCCTCCCTTCTGTGTGTATTACATGGTCCTGGCCTTAACCTTATTGGACTCTCATTATTCTCCGTTAAATTACTTTGATAGACCAGAGAATATCGGGAAGAAACACAAGAGTTTTAAAAGGCCAGGCCTGAATGTATGCACACACTTAGTGAAGGCAGGCAGAGGCGTACACACACACACTTGCATTTAACCCCACATAAAACCTCACCGCACTGCACATTTTCTGAGATTATGTTCTCATGCAACTCAGCTATTTTCTGATAGAGTTAAATCAAGCATAGCAATACTCCTACTTCTGGAGTGCTGTAATTTACAGGGACAAGGCTATATTTTAGAGCGTAGGATCTAACTTCTTTTCTTTTTTTTTTAAATTGTTACCAGACTTACATAGGAGCCTGTATGGAACCACGTCTCCACAGTCCCGAAAGATACCAGCTCTCACAGCCTTCACCACTGTGACACACCTTTTCAGACACCTTTGTTTAGAAACAATGCAAGTGAATAATATCCTGTTAAGGCCAAATGTCTACTTTAGTTCACTCTCCATTTCGAGTAGGCTGAATGATTATTACCTCATGGGAAAGGATCATTTAGCTGCAAGTAGCACAAGAAGGAACACACATTAAGTAACTAATCAATAATGATTCTTCTGGGGAACGGATTTGCAAGGACAAACAAAGACAAGAGAAAAAAGTCAGTTGTTCAATTTAGCCTTTGTTGGTTAGGAAATGAATAGCAATCCAGAAGTGTTTAACTGAGAAAAGGAACTCCTAGGCCCTGTAACATTTTGTCCTCTAAAAACTGGGAAGATTAGAAGGGAAGGAGAAATCCCCTAAGGAAATTGTCATTTTCAAACTAGACATTTGCAACAGCTTACATAAGAAAACCAAACAAACCAATTCTCTGATATTGAAACTGAATTAATTTGTTCAGGAGGAATTATAAATGTCTTAAATGCACATCTAACGAAACAGCCTCAAATATATCTCCCATTTATAAACCTCTAATCAGGAGAAAGACTTCGAGGTCAAAATCAGAGTTTCCTACACAAAACATGTCTACACTAAGATTGTGGGGAGTGGTGGGGTGGGGTGTGAGGGGAGTGGGGAATAAAAAATAAAAACTTTCTCCTCTTAAATACAACCCATGTGGTACATTTGAGGGTCTTCAAATGTTCCCAGCAGCGACAAGATTTCACTTAATTATATTCTCTAAGCTATAATGGAATACCTTCAGATATACAGATCCATGTTACATGAAACAGCATTAGATCATGTAACTGGACTC